ATGCTGAAGATCAAAAAATGATGCTCAGAGAAATGATTGAAGTGGGCACCTTTTTATGCTTTTTAGACAAAGAAATAATAAACTTATGAGGAAATGACAGGACAAACAATGTTAGTGTTCATTAGTAAGAAATCTAAGCAAGATTTGGGCTTGGGTAGTAAATTAATAAAGAGGCAACAAGGTTTGTTTAGGTTCTGGATTCCTTAACTCTAGTAATAAGGGTATTTCTCTTAGCCTTCAGGTACAGGGAAGGCACCTTTCACATGGGAGATTTATCTCCTGCTTTAAGGGAGAGAGAGAGAGAGAGAGAGAGAGAGAGAGAGATCAGTGTTCTTCTTGCATTGGCAGTTCCTTAAGTAACTTTAATTCAAAATAATCAATATGCCATTATGGGGTATTTTGGGTTGGTCTACCCTGAGCCACAATAGTTTCCATCTGGAGGATTGTTTGTGTCAGGAAAGTGTAAAATGTAAAAATAAAGGAATTGGAAAGCTCAGGGTTTTGGAGGAAAACTGAAGGTCAGTGTTCGATGCAAGTCAAGTCATGTACCCACAATTAGAAACCTAAACAAGGGCATCTGGGTAAAAGATTCAGAGACTCCTAATTGGGACTCAGTCATGTATGATCAATAGTGGGAACAAGAAATAACACAGTAGTGAATGTATCAACTGTGCTTTGGTTCTTTGTAGAGCAAGGGCCAAACTTTCAAGCTTGTCAGGCCAGGGACTACAGTAAGGAATAAAGGACAGGGCTGTCATAGACTAACATGGCCCCATGGCCCTCGCCTCCTCATTCTTTGTTTCTCTTTCACTGCATAATCTAGTTCTCTGTATAGTATGTGAAATATGTCTATATTTGAATGTCTGACATAATCCTAACTGTCCAAATACCTTTCCTGGTTGCAGGAATCAAGCAAGGTTTCTCCATGGTCTAATTCTCTGGTAAATTTTCAGCCAGTTTTTCTGAAACTAAGATTTTCTTTTTTTAAATTCTCACCTGAGCATATTTTTTCCATTGATTTTTTTAGAGAGTGGAGAGGAGAGGAGAGGGAGAGAGAAAGAGAGAGACATCGATTGGTTGCCTCCCACTGGTGCGCTGGCCAGGGCCAGGGATCGGAGTGTGCAACCGAGGCACGTGCCCTTGACCAGGAATCCCACCCAGGGCCCTTCGGTCTGCGAGCTGATGCTCTAACCACTGAGCAAACCGGCTAGGGCAAGATTCTCTTTTCTAGATAAAAGGCTGGTCCAGAAGCTAGCTCAGCTCAACTCTAGTTGAATTATTTATTACAGTATACTCTTGGCACTTAGGAAGATTCATTTAATACATATGAGTAATGTCTCAAAGAATCCATACTGCCCATTGGAGGGCTCTACCATCATTTTTATTGGATCAACAATACTGAACAAAGGGTAATAATGGAGGGAAAAATGCTTAAGTAACTTTGGCAAAGATGTGTGCTGGCAAGTTTACCTGTCAAAAGTGATAATTTGTGGTTTGCAAAATCTATATTCATCAAATGCTTTAACTTATCTCTCTAGGAAGGTTTTAAAAAGAAAGACTTTAAAGCCCTGTAAGATAAGTTAAAGGATTTATGAATCAATGGCAGTAAAATATGATTAATAGCGACAGCTTCCCGTTCTTTCTTTCAGCTTTAGTCTTGTGAGTAATACAGCAACTCATCAGATAATTTACCTAATTGCTAGCAAGAGCAATTTGGCTCTTTCAGGGACCCTATGATCAAAAACCCGAACTACCAGCTTACACTCCTTGTGTGTGCCCTGACCTTCTGAACCTTGCAGAGCTGGTGAACTTGTAGTTATGTCATATGTTAACCAAAGTCATTTCTTCTTTCCAAAGTTAGTTGGGGTAGATCATTCTGATAGCTGTGTAAAAACCTGGCTATTAATAAGAGGAAAGGAGCACAGAGAAGGCCACATTTTATAGACATGCCATTTGTGCAGCTTTGCCAGGAAGCTGCAGTTTAGATGCATGCCCAGTAGAGTCTGAGTGAAATAGAGATGGTACCTATCTGTCAGTCACACCTGGGAACAGGTCGCCGGCCAGATTAGGCATGGCCACTGCAAGCATGGGAAGATTTCAGATACTTAAGCTCCTAGACAAAGGAGTTGTCTCTCTTGCTCTTTCCAGACTCTTGTGACTTGTTGCGGGGGTTGCACTCTCCTGACCCCCCTACATTGGCTCACACGGCCCATGACCATGTGGACCCCACACACAATGGATTGATGGACTGTAACTAGCCTAATGCTAAACCAGACCCAGCTCTACCATGGAACAGAAACTCTGGACACTGGCTTTGCTTCTAGCTCTGCTTAATCCTCAGCTGTACTTCTTCCAGGACTAGATTAAGGGAAATGGGATTTTACAATCTGAGGCATGTAATTCCATGAAAATAAAGCTCTTTACCACAACTCATTCTCCTGTGGGGGCCTCAGGAAATGCTTGTTCCAGCGGCATCCCAAGAACCCCACTCCCACTAGCAACAGAGAAAGACCGTCCATGCATTTCTTCCATAACAATTCCACACGATTATAAGCCTCTCAACGGTAGGGGATTGCATGTGTTGTTGCTGGAGTTCCCCTTAAAAAGAAGGCACACACTAACTTTAAGAGGGGCTTTTGGAATATGTGATCCTGAAGGATTCTTTTTGGCTCTTTAATGCTTTTATTTTACTAAGAATAAAACGCTGTTGGTATAAATAGGTATTTGAAAACAATTGTGGAAGATTTACCTATTGAAAGATGCCCTAATCTTGGCCACAATTTTCCCCTTCATATTTAGGTAATCAGACATTATTGTGAAAGTTTTATCAATTTCATTGATTCTTCAAACATTTGTTTTTGTAGTACTGGAAGTTTTTCTCGCTATGGGCAACTTAACCTTAGGCCGCACTTGCTGAAAATAGCCTGGGGGTGTTTGACCCTTCCTGGCTCTGTGCCTGTTTATAAGAACAGAGCTTTGATAGTTGTATCCTCTTTAGGTACATTTCATTTTCTTTCTCTCCCCTTACAATAACTACTTGACTGTCACTTCGACCTTGTCCTGAAATGAAATATAGGTTGTCTAAGTCAACAGATTTTTATTTGTGCCTTATATATTCTCTCTAGTACTTTCCTTCTTGGGAAGTAATCGAGACTCTTTGATTAGAGCATGTTGAAGAGAATGGCCAGAATATACTGAAGACAATGGCCAGAATGGTGAAAGTATTTCATCCACGCAAAGGAAGAAAGAATCAAAGAAACTAAAGAAGTGGAATCCAGAAAAGTAAAGTTCCAACAGGATCATGGTGACTGTCATCAAACTTTTCAAGGGCTGTTTTGGGAAAGAGTGATTAAAAGTGTAGAACTAGGGTCAAGGGGCAGACAGTGAAATAGGGATGCTTTTCTAATAGGTTTTCCAAAGACAGAATTGGCTTCCTTGAGAAGGAATGTGATCCAGTATAAACTATTAGATATCTTGGGAAGATGTTTTGGAGTAGTTCAATTACACAACATTTAAGTTGTTTCCAACTCTGAGAAGCTATTTCTGTTCTTTTACATATATAAAATATTTCTACTAGAAATTCCTCCATTGACTGAATATACATTTTTTTTTTTTAATATGTCTTTATTGATTTCAGAGAGAGGAAGGGAGAGGGAGAGAGAGAGAGAAACATCAATGATGAGAGTCATTGAACAGCTGCCTCCTGCACGCCCCCTGCTGGGGATCGAGCCCGCAACCCGGGCCTGTGCCCTGACCGGGAATCGAACCAAGATCTCCTGGATCCTAGGTCTATGCTCAATCGCTGAGCCATGCCGGCTGGGCTTAATATATATATTTACTATAGAAAAAAACAATCATATTGCTAGCTTCCGCTTACCTTTCCCTTACTCACATCCCTCCAAAGTAGACTATTTTAATACTGCAGTCACCTTGACAACAGAGGTGTCTGTTTTAACAGTTTTAAGTAACATTATTCAAAGGGATTCTATTGCCCAGTAAAGTGGGGGAAATAGTCTTTAATGTTCTTTTTCTTTTCTAACCTCAAAGAGTCTAGGATTAAACATATACTTTGAATTTAAAATCATTGTAAATTTGCTGAGTAAGAGAACATCAAGTGTAATTGTTGCAAAAACTAGAAAGTTTTCACTTAGCATAATGTAGAAAAAAACATTTTATCATGTAATTTATATGAAAAATTTCATCAACTAAAAGGCATGGATCAAATTTAAAAATTATCCCTAATTTCAAACAATTCAATATGTATTTGTATATTTTAACCTTTGTGCATAAGGCATTGGGGCTGTTGTGGGATCAGATTTAGTGAGGCAGATATTGCAGTCAACCACAACCTATCTTACTTGAATTATTATTAAATTATAGTTGAATAATAACTCATTGATGTACAATCAATGAATTATTATTAATTATGAGAGGTTATTACATACATAAAAGTTATCCAAGGCAGAAAAAATATCAATAAGTACTGCAATGGGAAATCCATTGGACATAATTTTTACACTAAAGGGAGAACCTTATAATAAGGAACACAATCTTGGTTTTAAAACTACTTCAGTTATTTTTTCATTGATTTGCCTCTTTCTAATAGTAATAAATTACATTTAAATACTTCCTTTGTACAGGCTTTGTGCGAAACTCTTCACTTCTTGTCTTCTTTCATCCTTAAAACACACTGAAGAGTTGACCCTATTTTTTTCTCATTCCACATATCAGGAAACTGAAGCATAGGAAAGTTAGATACCATGCCCAAGTTTATAGAGTTGGTATTAACGCAAATCAATAAATCCAAATTTGACTCTAGAGTCTGAGCTAGTCACCCACCCACCGTGTTATATACCTTGATAGCCCAAATGCTAATGTGATTATTTTATTTAGGATAAATTTGCATAGAAAAACAAATTTTATTATTTTTTTGGTTCCCACTTATTTCCCTCCTATTATATAGTTCAGTTGACCACTCTAACTTAGAAGGTTATACTCACCCCGTTTGTGAAGGAGAATGCTGGCATGCCGACGACCATTTCCATTTTCAACATAACAAGAGTAATTTCCCAAGTCACCTTCTTGTACAGAGTCCACAATTAATGAGATGGAAACTTCCTGTTCCCCAAGATGCTCCTTGAGAATTCTAAAATATAAAGCAAAACGAAACAAAAAACCCCACACAAACGTACACATACACGAAAAAGAAAAAAAAAATTAGATGAATCTGCATCTGATGTGAAAACACCTGCAATATCCGTGCTTCAAATTTGGCTATGGATTAATGATATCTTAATCAAATTATATCATGCCCTCTTTCACTTCTAATGAGTAAGTTTGTCTTTGAAGATGCTAATGAAGTAGCAGTTAATTATCTCTCTTAGCAGGACAATAACACTGTCATAATAAAGATGTGAGAGAGACCTTGAGGAAAAGTTTAGGAACTGCTTTCCCTTTAAGAAGAAATATGATGTAAAGGTGAGATAAAATATTCTAATGTCTTAGGTTAGAGGACTAATTGTATATCAGGCTAATAAAAAAAGGAAGAATAGAAAATTTTTTAGCTATTTTGACATTTCAGTTGAAACCTCCAGCCTGGCCTCTTTTTTCATGATACAAATCAGTTGTCTATTTTTAAAGAAATATGAAATTATAAACCTGTAGATAAAGTGTTCCAAGGAAGTGCTTAATTGTGATATGTAAAATTAATGGTAAATGCTCACTAATCTCACTGTCAAAGATCTCAGCAATCTTTCTGAGCAAATGGGAAATTTCAGAGTAAAGCTCCTTTTCCCGGCTCAAAAAGTTTCCACCTCTACTTTCTCACCTGTTTGGTAACTCAACTCTGCACAACACTTTCTAATGCAGAATTAAAGAATAATACCTTTCTAGAATATCCCCTGAGCACCCACGAAAGGGGAGAGCAGGCAAGTTAGGAGATTTATTGTCCTTCCTTAACTTTAGCATTTCAAAGTGTATGGATAAGTGATAAATGGCAGAGGAACACTTTAGTACATATTGGAGAATTGCCCATCTGGGCATTTCAGAACCCAGCTGCAGTGTAAGATTCTTGTGTATTTGTTGCTAGGAAGAAAATCCTAGTAGAAATAACCTTATATGACAGTTTTATATGTTTTTTATTTTCTACTGAAAACCTTTTTCAGTTATACCTTTGATAAAGTTTTAAAAGTCCTCGTGTTTAAAAGAGTCCTCCTTCAAGAAGAGGGACCTTGGTTAAAATACTCATGCACTCCCAGAAGGCGTTACCTTTAGATGGGAGAATGTTTACAAATGGGCAGCATTTTCATTCAGTTATAACTTAATTCTTATTAACATCCTTGCTTCTGTACATTATGATTAAAAATGAGTATCTATAAGCCCTGGCCAGTGTGGCTCAGTTGGCTGGAGCAGTGTTTCAAACACCAAGAGGTGGCAGGTTTGACTCCGGGTCAGGTCACATACCTAGGTTGTGGGTTCGATCCCTGATCAGGGCTCATGCCCGGAGGCAACCGATCGATGTTTCTCTCTCACATCGATGCTTTTCTCTCTCTCTTCCCCCTCTTCTTTCTTTCTCTGTCCCTCCCTCCCTCTCTCTAAGATCAATAAAGAAAAATGAGTATCTATGCCCAAGTATAATTTTAGTCATAATTGAATACCTGAATACTTAAAGGTAAATGAACAAACAGTTTTTAAAGAGAGGATTTTAAAAATTAATTTATCATTATCATTGAAAGTATTACAGATGTCCCCCTTTGACCCCTTCAAGCTTAAGTATTATGTCCTCAAATAGATGGTATTTGTAATGTTTATTCTCTAGCATTCCCACTATATTCATATTTAGACCTTAAAGTCAGAACAAAAAGGTAATTAAGACATTTTGTGTATCGTTTTTCATTCCTAACAAGTGTTTTATTGTCTATGTGATGCCTCAAATATGAAAACATATAAAAGGAAATGACAGAAATTGTGTTTGGTTGAGTCCTGGTACCTTGTTTTTATTTCCTCTTAATGAAAAACAAAGAGCTCTTACAGACAAAAAGTACAATATCACATTTTCTATATTTGATGGTATTTTGGTCTATCTCACATTCAGTACATTCCTCAATGAAAAACCCCTTTTTATTTCTCTTAAATTCTTTGTAAATAGCATTCATGTTTTGCAATTCAATAGTCTCTTAACAGTGTTTTGCCTCTTTGCCACTATATGTTGCAATGTTTTCATTATAATAGTAAAACAAAACAAAAAACTTCTTTCCTTTTAGCTTAATTTCTAGTCACCAACAGAGTAAATATTAATCTTGAGTACAAGATGAAAGAAAAACTTATTTTACCTAATGTCACTTTCCCAAACTCGATTTTCATCCAGATCTTCAATAAACTTTTCTCCTTTCATCCAGTAAATTAAAGGACTGACATCTCCACTGTACCCAAAGAAAGCTCTGCAGGTTAGATTAGCTGAGTCACCTGTGGAGAGGAGTGACAGAAATATGTTATAAAACTATTTGTGCCCTCTTATTTGAGGCAAACTGGCAGGTAACATTTTAATCACTTCATTGATTGAATGAAACATATTTCTAAAATAATACATTTTCAGGTATTTTCAATCTTTGTCAAATTCAGAAAATGTGTGCTTTTGACAGCTTTTTAATGAAATGATTGTGACTTGTGAAATTTTAAATAAGGCTGGTCAGTTATTTTATAGAAGGTTCTTCCATATAGGTTTGCCTGATATTTCCATCTGATTAGATTGAGGCTATAAATTATTGGAAAAGTACCACAGAGGTGATGTCAGTCAGTCACTCTGCTTCTTCTCCCATAGCTCTTGGAATACACCTGTATTTATCATAAATTCCTTACAATATTTGGTGTGTTTGCATGTCTAACCCAGAGTATTCATTCCCCAAGGTAGAAATTATATCTGTATGTACCTTTATGTATTACCAGGGCCTGTTACAGTGCTTAAATATATTAGGAACTCAATAAATAATTTCAAATCAATTAATAACCTGCTTAATATCTTTCAAACTTGCATTTTCCCTTGCTTACTTTTATCAAAGCTTCCTTAATTAAAGGTAACATGTCTGCAGCTTATCTCAACAGGCCAAGTCTCTCTTGTAAACTAGCCTTCAACACTGCAAGTGCAAAGCCTCCACATTTAGATCTTATTTCACTTGTGGGCTGGAGCCAGTTCATACCAGCTGTGAGAGTTGATTATTACATTTTCAGAAATTCTGTAAGCAGGTTGTTAAACACAGTAATTATTTAAAATTAAATTACAGAAACTAACAATTCAAATACTATATTATCTTTTTATATTTAATGTTGGAAGTATCACAAGATGTCCCTCTTTTTCCCCATTGACCCCTTCCACCCCACCCTATGCCCCCAGGCCTTCACCACACTATTGTCTGTGTTCATGGGTTATGCAGATATGCATAAAGGTTGATCAGTACTCAAAACTTCCTATTTATTTTGCTCCATTTTTCATCTATAGCATCCATATGGCAGAAATACTATATAATAGTGTGCTGCTGCACATCCCTTCCCAACTGCACATTTAGTGAGATTATGTTGGTAGGGTGCAATTAAAAATAGTAGCAGATTAACTCTAGGCAATGAGTTATCAGAATTTGAATTATGATTTGGAAACAAAAGTTAATTTCATATGATACAACAAAAATTGGGATTTATTAGTTGAATATTATTATAAAATATTTTATGAATTTGTGTAGAAAAATATATGTTCTTAGAATTAGAGCCTAGATATAACAAGAAAATACAAGAGCAACAGATTTGAATAAATAATTAGTAAAACTTCAGTAGAATGGAAAACAATGCAAAGAAAATTAAAACAATAGAGTGATAATGAATTTTTCTTCATTCTGTTTGCTACCTAGTGTGTATCTGAGGATATTTTCAGTTAAAAAAGAAACACGATAAAATAACACTTAGCCAAGTACCTAGAAAGGTCATTGATGGATTAAAATTCCAGATACTCAACTTGCAAATAATCGTAGACAGATTTTGATAGAAATTAGAAGGAAGGTTATTAGATCGCATCCCCTAATGCCACCATTAACCTGCTTTTTGCAAATTCCAACTAACTTTCATACCAGATTTTTTTATATTCCCATATATTCTACAATATCATTTAGTTTAAGGGAATAAAGTTTAACATGTTATATTTTTTTGCACTTAAGCCAGTGAGTCTCAAACTTATTGTCCCAAAACTTGTCCGTTCCCC